ACACAGAGATGAAAAAAAAAAAATCCTCCTACATACATAAGTTGTACCTGCTTATCTGCAGTTGTCTCTTCTCTACATGCGTTCAAAGTGCTGAATGTATAAAGCTTTTCTAAAGTTCAGAAAAAAAGGGCGGAGAGCTTAAATTACACTCTGCAGAGCTCAATGAGGAGAGCTGATTGGAGGGAAGGGACACCCCCCCCCCCTTCATACGGTACACAGGAACAGAGCTGATCCTGCCAATCTGCTGGGGGTCCCTCCCCTGTTACCATTTTTCTCTTGGTGTGAGGAAAACTTGTTAGAAGTGATTTATGCTGATAGCAGAAGAATGAAGCAGAAGAAAGAAATTACGCTTAGTGCTCTGGATTGTGACACGTACACACTATAGAGGGATATGCTTTGTTCGCATTTGTCTGAGGTGTACAACCCCTTTAATGTTTGTAGTTATTCCTCATAACTGAGGTCCTCCAGGTTCTTTTTTTAGCTGTGGTGCCCCTTCTCTGGACTCTCTCCAGTTCAAGCACATCCTTCCTGAGGACTGATGACCAGAAATGAATAGCATACTCAAGATGCAACCTCGCCAGAGCTTTGTAAATTGGTAGAATTCTAGTTTAAGATCAAAGCAGAAAAGCGAGCGCTAAAACCAGAAGCAGCTGAAGCACCAAAAAGGTAACCAAACACAACCTCCAAGAAAATAGGATAAATATAGGTGCAGTGCTAGAATATTTGAAATTAGAATTTTCCAATGTGATGTGATCATACGCAATAAAAATATATATGAATAAAAGTTTATGCATAAAAAATGAATAATTATTGGTACTCAAACAAAGTGACAAAGTGCAAGTAATGTGCTAATATATAATTACCACAATAAAGTACTAATAAAGTGATAATCGTGAGCACATAATAGTGCTAAAATATGAAAATCCAGTATATGACAAAAGAATGTCCATAAAGTGCTAATTGTGAAGATCCATCCAAGAATGATCTTAAGGTAAGTGCTTTGTATACTCTAACGATTATTCGGTGATGTGCCAGAGTTAAGAGTACGCACTCACCAGATGCGTAATAATACGCATTTGTATATAATGTTGTCGGCCGGAGGTCCCCTTAAGGATGTATACAGCCTGGTCTGGTCAGAGAGATCCCCTTCCCCTGGGTTATCTGCAGCACCTCAGCCGTCCTCCAGAATGGACTCTGTAGGTTTGAGGATTAATTTTAGTTTTTTCAGGTATTTACCAAAACATATTCAAGCTATAGTTATATAATGGATATGGGCTGAAAGTGCACAATCTCAGGTTTAATTTGAGGGTATGTACATCCAAATTGGAGGAAGGGTTTAGGAATTACAGCTCTTAAGAGTAGCCATTCCCCCTTTTTCAAGGGACCAAAAGTAATTGGAAAATTGAATTAAAAGTTGTTTCATGGCCAGGTGTGGGCTATTCCATTATTCTTTCATCAATCAAGCAGGTAAACAGTCTGGAGTTGATACTAAATGTGGTATTTGCATTTGAAATCTATTGCTGTCCATGCAAGTGAAACTGGCCATTGTAAGGCTTCAAAAACAAAAAACCATCAAAGAGATAGCAGCAACATTAGGAGTGGCCAAATCAACAGTTTGGTACATTCTGAGGAAAGAAGAATGCACTGATGAGCTCAGCAACATAAAAAGACATGGACATTCACGGAAGACAACAGTGGTGGATGATCGCAGGATCCTCTCTATGGTAAAGAAAAACCCTTTCACAACATCCAGACAAGTGAAGGGCACTCTCCAGGAGGTGGGCGTATCATTGTCAAAGTCAAGAAAAGACTTCACAAGAGCAAATACAGAGGGTTCACCACAAGGTGCAAACCATTCATAAGCCTGAAGAATAGAAAAGCCAGATTAGACTTTGCCAAAAACATCTAAAAAAAAAAGCCAGACCAATTCTGGAAAAACATTCTTTGGACTGATGAAACTAAGATTAATCTGTACTAGAATGACGAGAAGAAAAACTGGAGAAGGCAGCTCATGATCCAAAGCACACAACGTCATCTGTAAAACATTGTGGAGGCAGTGTGATGGCATAGGCATGCATTGCTTCCAGTGGCACTGGGTCATTGGTGTTTATTGATGATGTGACAGAAGCAGCTGGATGAATTCTGAAGTTTTAGAGATATACTGTCAGCTCATATTCAGCCAAATGCAGCAAAGTTCCTAAACACTGCAAAAGCAACCCAGGAGCTTTTGAAGGAAAAGAAGTGAAATATCCTGCAATGGCCGAGTCAATCAGCTGATCTCAACCCAATTGAGCATGCATTTCACTTGCTGAAGGCAAAACTAAAGACAGAACAACTGAAGACAGGTGCAGTTAGAACCTGGCAAAGCATCAGAAAGGAGGAAACCCAGTCTTTGGTAATGTCCATGAGTTCCAGACTTCAGGCAGTCATTGCCAGTAAAGGATTCTCAACAAACTATTAAAAATTAACATTTTATTTATGAATATATTCTTTTGTCCAATTACTTTTGGTCCCTTGAAAAAGGAGGGATAGCTACTTTTAAGAACTGTAATTCTTAAATCCTTCCTCCAGTTTGGATGTACATAGCCTCAAATTAAACTTGATAGTGTGTGTTAGGAATGGACTTGCCAGTAGTGATGGGACTCACCTGCCTTGTGGGCTGCAGTACCAGGGCTGGCCAGCAGGTGCTCCCAGCAATCAGAGACTCAACCCTGCAGTCAGCCAAACACCTGAAACTGCTTATGCAGGTGTATTTAAGTGATGGCCAGACCTGCAGTCTTTGCCTTGGTGTGTGTGTTTTTCCTGGGCCCTGTATCTTGTAATCCTGCATTCTTGTTCCTGTTCCTGCTAGTACGTTTCCTTGTTGCCAAACTCTGCCTGTTTTGATTACGCTGACCCTCTCCTGCTCTGACCCCGGCTCGTTCCTGACCATCCCTCTGCCTGACCCTCTGTACCACGCTGCCCGCTACCTGCTGAACCTGGCTTGTGACCCCGACCATTCTCCGCTTGCTCCCCCTGTACCTACCTGCCCAATTGTTATTGACCCGGCCCGCCTGACGACGCTTGCATTGTATGTGCTGTTATCTGTGGGTGGTTGGTTTGGTTCGTTTGCACTGTGTTATGTTTTAGTATTGCACTGCGTTTATGTTTGTATTGTTAGTGTTAATAAATTATATTGTTTATAACATATCTGAAGTCTGCGTTTCCCTGTTTCCCTGCGTCAGTCACATACCTCTGGTCACACCCGGGAGCCCTGACATTACACCAAGGCCAATCCTGACCAGAAGTGGCTGCACAGGGAAGCCATCTTGGTTTGTTGATGGGAAGGATGGATCTTGATGAGGTTGTGTATTTATATCTGCTAGTGTTTGATGACAGAGAATATGCTTATCAGACTCTGAAGGAGTATCCCAGGGATGAACTGCTAGAATGTATACGGCTCGCTCATGTTCTAGTAGATCAGGGCACAGAATTCTCTGAGGTGCAGCCATTGATTCAGGTTTGTGCGGAGTTGGTTTTTCATCTGGTACCCCCGAATGCAGGGATGAATTTTTGCCACCATTTAGTGCCGACCAGGTAGAGTCCCTGGTATGGTTATTAGAGGATGATGTGGATTACTTTCTGGAGCATTATTCTGCATGTTCACCACAGATACTAAGAGATTGTATAAACGCAGTGCAGTCTTTGGTCAGACAGGCTTTGTGTAAGCTCAGCTTTGTTCAACCCATACTGCAGACATGGACAGATTTGTTGCACCCAGCCTCAGTCAGCTTACAAAAACCCAGTCCTGCTTCTAATCTATTTCCTCAAAGCTCTATTCCTGCATTCCCAACAGCTCCTCCTGCCCTGCTATCTACCGCATGTCAGTACCCTGTTCCCACTCGCTGCACCTATCCTGCCTTTAACCCTGTAAAGAAGTCCTCTGTAGCAACTGTTCACTCCCCTGTTCCATCCTCCAGCTCTTCTCTGTCTCCAGCTGCTCCATTCATTTGCAGACCTGCGTTTACTTGCAGTGCTCCAGTAGTTAAAACCAGAAAAAAGCGAAAATTCTTTCCAACCAGTACCATCCTGCCAGTATCCAAACCGGTCAGCCTGCCGTCTGAGAACCGGCCTTCCGTGGTTCAGCCTGGTACCTCGGCACCCGCACTTCAACCTGATGCCTGTACCCAGCCTGATGCCTCTACCCAGCCTGATGCCTCTACCCATCCTGATGCCTCTACCCAGCCTGATGCCTCCATTCAGCCTGATGCCTCTACCCGGCCTGATGCCTCTACCCGGCCTGATGCCTCCATTCAGCCTGATGCCTCTATTCGGCCCGATGCCTCTATTCGGCCCGATTCCTCTATTCGGCCCGATGCCTCTATTCAGCCTGCTGCCTCTACCCAGCATGATGTTTCTACCCAGCCTGATGAACTGATCCAGCCTGATGATCCTATTAGGCCAGTTGACTCGATGCCCGCTGTTGATCCAGACGATCCGGTACCTGATGACCCGGTGCTGCTGTCATACCTGGTGACCCGATGCCCGCTGTCGAGCCAGACGATCCAATGCCTGATGACCCAGTGCCCGCTGTCATGCCTGGTGACCCGATGCCCGCTGTCGAGCCAGACGATCCAGCGCCAGATGACCCGGTGCCTGCTGTCGAGCCAGACGATCCGGTACCTGATGACCCGGTGCCCGTTGTCGTGCCAATTGACTCAGAGCTCGCTGTCGTGCCTGGTGACTCGGTGCCCACTGCCTTGCCAGGTGACGCGGTGCCCGCTGGCGAGCCAAATGACCTGATGCCTGGTGACCCAGTGCCCGCTGTCATACCTGGTGACCCCATGCCCGCTGTCGAGCCAGACAATCCAATGCCTGATGACCCAGTGCCCGCGGTCATGCCTGGTGATCCGATGCCCGCTGTTGAGTCAGACGATCCAGCGCCAGATGACCCGGTGCCTGCTGTCGAGCCAGACGATCCGGTACCTGATGACCCGGTGCCCGCTGTCGTGCCAATTGACTCAGAGCCCACTGTCGTGCCTGGTGACTCGGTGCCCACTGCCTTGCCAGATGACGCGGTGCCCGCTGTCGAGCCAAATGACCTGATGCCTGGTGACCCGATGCCCGCTGTCCAGCCAGACGATCCAATGTCTGACCCAGTGCCCGTGGTCATGCCAGTTGACTCGGAGCCCACTGTCGTGCCTGGTGACTCGGTGCCTGTCACTCCGCCTGGGGGTCCGGCGCCCGACGCTCCGCCTGGGGGCCCGAGACCTGTCCGCTCCGCCTGGGGGTCCGGCGCCCGCTGCTCCGCCTGGGGGCCCGAGACCTGCCGCTCCGCCTGGGGGTCCGGCGCCCGCCGCTCCGCCTGGAGGCCCGAGACCTGTCGCTCCGCCTGGGGGCCCGAGACCTGTCGCTCCGCCTGGGGGCCCGAGACCTGTCGCTCCGCCTGGGGGGTCCGGCGCCCGCCGCTCCGCCTGGGGGCCCGAGACCTGCCGCTCCGCCTGGGGGTCCGGCGCCCGCCGCCCGCTGGGGGTCCGGCGCCCGCCGCTCCGCCTGGGGGTCCGGCGCCCGCCGCTCCGCCTGGGGGCCCGAGACCTGTCGCTCCGCCTGGGGGTCCGGCGCCCGCCGCTGCTCCGCCTGGGGGCCCGAGACCTGCCGCTCCCGCCTGGAGGCCCGGCGCCCGCCGCTCCGCCTGGAGGCCCGAGACCTGTCGCTCCGCCTGGGGGCCCGAGACCTGTCGCTCCGCCTGGGGGTCCGGCGCCCACCGCTCCGCCTGGGGGCCCGAGACCTGTCGCTCCGCCTGGGGGTCCGAGACCGCCGCTCCGCCTGGGGGTCCGGCGCCCGCCGCTCGCCTGGGGGTCCGGCGCCCGCCGCTCCGCCTGGGGGTCCGGCGCCCGCCGCTCCGCCTGGGGGCCCGAGCCTGTCGCTCCGCCTGGGGGCCCGAGCCTGTCGCTCCGCCTGGGGGCCCGATGCCTGTCGCCCCGCCTGGGGGCCCGGCGCCTGCCGCCCCGCCTGGGGGCCCGGTGCCTGTCCGCCCCCCCCTGGTGGCCCGGTGCCTGTCGCCCCGCCTGGTGGCCCGGTGCCTGTCGCCCCGCCTGGTGCCCGGTGCCTGTCGCCCCCCCCTGGTGGCCCGGTGCCTGTCGCTGCCCGCCTGGTGGCCCGGTGCCTGCCCCCGCCTGGTGGCCCGGTGCCTGTCGCCCCGCCTGGTGGCCCGGTGCCTGTCGCCCCGGGTGGCCCGGTGCCTGTCGCCCCGCCTGGTGGCCCCGCCTGTCGCCCCGCCTGGTGGCCCGGTGCCTGCCCCGCCCCTGCCCCCGGTGCCTGCCCCCGAGTTGCCCGGTGCCTGTCGCCCCGCCTGGTGGCCCGGTGCCTGTCGCCCCGCCCGGTGGCCCGGTGCCTGTCGCCCCGCTGTGTGTCCCCCGGTGTGCCCGATGTGCCACTGCCCGGAGTCCTGCCCGATGTGCCGCTGCCCGGTGTGCCGTTGCCCGGAGTCCTGCCCGGTGTGCCGCTGCCCGTAGTCCTACCCGATGTGCCAGTCTGATATCCGCCAGTTACCAGACCCGGGCGGTGGAACATTTTGCCCAACTAGGACTGTTTGGAGCGTCCTGAGGCCGCTCCTTGAGGGGGGGGTACTGTTAGGAATGGACTTGCCAGTAGTGGTGGGACTCACCTGCCTTGTGGGCTGCAGTACCAGGGCTGGCCAGCGGGTGCTCCCAGCAATCAGAGACTCAACCCTGCAGTCAGCCAAACACCTGAAACTGCTTATGCAGGTGTATTTAAGTGATGGCCAGACCTGCAGTCTTTGCCTTGGTGTGTGTGTTTTTCCTGGGCCCTGTATCTTGTAATCCTGCATTCTTGTTCCTGTGTTCCTGCTAGTACGTTTCCTTGTTGCCAAACTCTGCCTGTTCTGATTACGCTGACCCTCTCCTGCTTTGACCCCGGCTCGTTCCTGACCATCCCTCTGCCTGACCCTCTGTACCCACGCTGCCCGCTACCCGCTGAACCTGGCTTGTGACCCCGACCATTCTCCGCTTGCTCCCCCTGTACCTACCTGCCCGATTGTTATTGACCCGGCCCGCCTGACGACGCTTGCATTGTATGTACTGTTATCTGTGGGTGGTTTGGTTTGGTTCGTTTGCACTGTGTTATGTTTTAGTATTGCACTGCGTTTATGTTTGTATTGTTAGTGTTAATAAATTATATTGTTTATAACATATCTGAAGTCTGCGTTTCCCTGCGTCAGTCACATACCTCTGGTCATACCGGGAGCCCTGACAGTGTGCAGTTTCATATAACTATAGCTTGAATATGATTTGGTAAATACCTGAAAAAACTCAAATTGTGCCTGTGTTAAAATATATATATGTACCTAACTGTAAATGAAAAATGAAAATTTTCTCAGCTCACATGTTTATTTTCATCTATTAAAGTGAGAATAATAAACAAGCAACAAGCAACTCCAGAATTTACAAATAAACATTTCTGACATTAAAAAAAAATAAAATCAGTGACCAATATAGCCACCATTCTTTTCAACAACAGTCATAAGCCTTCCATTAATGGAATCTGTCAGTTTCTTGATCTGTTGATGATCAACCTTTTGTGCAGCAGCAGCCACAGCCTCCCAGACACTGTTCAGAGAGGTGTACTGTTCTCCTTCACCGTAAATCTCCCATTTAAGAAGGACCCACAAGTTTCCAATAGGGTTTAGGTAAAGTGAGGATACCATTATTCATTCATCTTTAAGGCCTTTACTGGCTAGCCATGCAGTGGAGTACTTATATGCATGCGATGGAGCATTGTCCTGCATACATATCATAGTCTCCTTGAAAGGTGCAGACTTTTCCTGCACCACTGCTTGAAGAAAGTGTCTTCAAAAACTGGCAATACGTTTGGGAGTTGATTTTGTGTCTATGTTCAACCCGAAAGGGTCCAACTAGCTTATCTGTAATAATACCAGCCCACACTAGTACCCCACCTCCACCTTGCTGGCTGGAAGCTCTGTGCCCGTTACTGATCCAGCAACGAATGGGCCCATCCATCTGGTCATTTAAGAGTCATCAGTCCATAAAACCTTTGAAAAATCTGGCTTCAGGAATTTCTTGGCCCAGTCTTGACATTTCAAGTCATGTGTTTTGTTCAGAGGTGATTGGGTTTCAGCCTTCCTTACCTTGGCCATGTGTCTGAGCACTCAACACCTTGTACTTCTGGTCACTCCAGGTAGGTTGCAGTTCTGGAATATGACAACACTGGAGGATAATGGGTTCCTGGTAGCTTCCCGTTTGAGTCTTCTCAAATCTTTGGCAGTTAATTTGTGTTTTTTTTTGTCAACACATTTCTTGTGACCCTGTTGACTATTTGCAACAAAACATTTGATGGGTCTGTTATCATGCCCCAATATCTTAGCAATTTCAAGAATGCTACATCCCTCTGAAAGACTTTTTACAATTTTTGACTTTTCAGAGTCAGTTAAATCTTTTTTTGGCCCATTGTGCCTGAGGAAAAGACGTTGCCTAATAATTATGCACACCTTGATATAGGGTGTTGATCTCCTTATGCTACACCCTCCCTCATTACCATAGTAAAAGTGTACTATGGTTTGAACAAATGGAGGTTAGAAGCTGGTTTCTATGCAGAAATGAGCCTGATTTTGCACTTTTCAGCTTTAGTAAATAAACCTCAATGTGTTTCCATTGACAAAATCAGAAAAGAATATAAAATAGTTTATTTGCCAGATTATTTTTATGAGCAATGACAAGCTGCCTTTTTGGATGTGTTCATCCGTCTCAGTAATATGTAATATTTGTTTCACCTACAACACTATAATTTTTTTTTGCCTCGGTTTAATTTAATAAAAATTAATAGTATCAGTATTTCAGAACAAGTATTAATTTTTTTTATATAAAAGCTGAAGACTAGAATTTTTTATATACAAATTGGTTAAATACATATTTCTTAGATATGACCTATGTTTTGCCACTAGATGTCCCTCCTCCATCAGACCATCTGACCTTGAATGCACCATATACCATGCTCACCTACAACACAGCCTGAACATAATTGTATTGTTTTCTATAAGATTATGTTAGCAGTACTTTTTACACTGTATGTTTATTTTAAAATAATGTTCAGTTGTCTAATAAACTTGCATTTAAAATTAGCTTTTTTTTTCATGGAGAGAAACCCAGGGATAAAATGAAGTTATACAGTTGCAAGAAAAAGTATGTGAACCCCTTGGAATTACGTGGAGTTTTGCATGAATTGGGCATAAAATGTGCTCTGAACGTCATCTAAGTCACAACAATAGAAGAACACAGTCTGCTGAACATAATACTACACAAACATTAGATGTTGCCACGGTTTAATTGCACATAACATGTAAACATTCACAGTGCAGGGAGGAAAAAGTATGTGAGGCCCTAGCTTAATGACCTCAAGCTCAACCTCTCCAAAACTGAGCTTCTCGTCTTTCCCCCTGCCAACACCCCCCCCCCCCCCATCCTATCCATCATCACCAACAACTCCACTATCACTTCCGCCCCGCAAGCCAAAGTCCTTGGCGTCATTCTTGACGCGAACCTCTCCCTCCAACCGCATGTCAAATCACTCACAAACACATGCAGGCTCCATCTTCGCAACATTGCCAAGATACGCTCCTTCTTCACCCCAGACACCACCAAACTTCTAGTACACTCCCTCATCATCTCACGCCTTGACTACTGCAACTCCCTCCTCACTGGCCTACCCAAGTGCAGGCTCTCCCCGCTCCAGACCATCCTGAACTCAGCTGCCAGACTCATCCACCTCACCACCCGCTCCACCTCTGCCACCCCCCTCTGCCTCTCCCTCCACTGGCTCCCGATTGCCCAACGCATCAAATTTAAACTCCTAACCCTGACCTACAAAGCCGTTCACAACACTGCCCCTGACTACCTCACCAACCTTATCACCAAGTACCACCCTACCCGTACCCTTCGCTCCTCACAGGACCTCCTTCTATCCTGCTCCCTGGTCTCCTCTTCCCATGCACGACTGCAGGACTTCTCCAGGTCCTCCCCCATCCTCTGGAACTCACTGCCCCAATCCATCAGACCGTCGGTCGCCTTCCCTATTCACATTCAGGCGCTCCCTCAAAACCCATCTCTTCAGGGAAGCCTACCCCACCCTCACCTAACGGCCATCCTCCCTCATTCCTCCCACCACTTCATCCCCCTCAGCCACTTCCTACTGTACCTTTTACCCCCTCCCTCCTAGATTGTAAGCTCGTAAGAGTAGGGCCCTCTTACCCCTCGTACATTGTTTGTTGTTGTTGTACTGTGCCATGTATTGTCCCCCCTATTGTACAGCGCTGAGCAAACCCTTTGACGCTATATAAACTCGTAGTAATAATAATAATAATAATAATAATGACTTCTCCCAGAGCTAATTGGAGCCAGGAGTGAGCCAACCTTGACTCCAATCAGTGTGATGATATTGGATGTGTTGCTGACAGCTGTCCTGCCCCTAAAAAACACACACCTGTTTTGGGTTTACTGGTTTCAAGAAGCACTGTCTGATGTGAACCATGCCTCGCAGAAAAGAGCTCTCAGAAGACCTACGAT